CCATCTCTCCTCAAATCTCTGTTACTATTCATTCAATGAAGTGAGACAAGCCACCGAACTGCCCATGAGGAGGAACACTCTACTCATGAGAGATCTCATATATGAAATGTTTGGAACTTTTGGAAGCTGCTCAATAAATCCAGGCAATGCCTACAGCATGGCTCAGCAGGTGGGAGGCCGGAAGTGACTGTATATTAAACTTCACCCCAGGAGCAGAAGGAATGCAGTGTGGCCAGTGTCTGCCCTTACCGCTGCAGGATTCCAAAGCTGGCACCTCTTTTAAGCTTTTGGAATGTGGGTAAAGCATTCCATCATGTTAGCAGGACACTATTTTCCCTTCCCTGCTGCTGAGTTTATTGTTGTAGTAAATCCCAGGGCACACGTCTGGCCCTCCTCTTGCATTCTGTCATGGAGAAGACTGTGCTGCAATCATTCAAAGTGATCCCTAATGGGGTGGCGTCATTAGCGTACTGAGGAGCCTGTCCTTTGGCAGTAGAAACAATAATGTAGTAAGGTCGGTCTTCAGGAGCATCAAACCTAATAAAGAATGCAATCAAGAGCTTTGTTAAAATAATGAACTTGCATTCAATAATGAACCTTCACACAACAGTAGGTTAAAACAGACTTATTGCAGCTTTCAATGGAAGTAGAAGAAGCATAAATTACTCTGAGGGTCTTTGAAATGGCTAAGAATAATTTACTCTTTCAGTGTTCCACTTCTTCCCGGTGTTACTATTTAGGATTATAAAATGGCAGCGATAGCAGCTATGGGCTCAAACAGGGAAGTGGAGAAAGCACTCTGATGCCCTTCCTCCAGTGAAACCAAGAGACGCCCGGTTCACTGTATCCAGGGGTCCATCTTTTTTTTCTAAACAATAAAAATCCAAGTGCTTTAGGAGTTATATTTCCTAGAAAGAATTCCCAGCCCGCACCTATTTCCACACCCACTCTGCTATTACCACTGCTGATGGCAGTCCAGACCTGAGCTCAGGTGCAGAGGACACCCATATGCTAATGGTCCCTCATGTGACTCATGAGCCAAGCTGAACTCATAGCTGAGCTTTAGTTTTGCATAGCAACAGAGACCCCGGGCTGACTATTTCTTAGCACACGACCTAGTTGTTTTTACCACCCAACTTAAAATGTCAAGTCCGACAGTGACCTGGTGTCATGGCCAGAGTTCACTATCGCGTATGTAATAATAATGTGTAGCTGATGAAGGTGGGAAGAAGAGAAGGAAGATGGAATGGTAGAGTCCATACTCCTGGTTTAGCCCCCTTTTTACCACTTCACAGTTACTCTCTGACAGAGCAGTACCTGGGATACAATCTGAGTTTAGACACAAACAAATGTTAGTGCTGGTCCTAATCATGTGATTGATTGATTGATTGATTGATTGATTGATTAAGTTGGGGGCCAGTTTGGCAGCTGCACTCCCTAGGTATTCCCCGCTGCACCACTTACATCTCCAGCACATTGTCCAGGCTGTAACATTCGAGGGCCTCTCTAGAGGGCAACCAATATGGCTTGCTGTAAGCACACTCCGTGGTCTCCCTGATTGATGTTGGACCCAGGTTGGAATGAACTGGAAAGTCTTTCTTAACAGCATGGGGGCACATCATAAAGGATTATTATGTGCCACACGGTTATAATAAAACTTGTTTTCTAACCGGTGTCTACTCATTTCCAGAAGAAGTAATTTCTCTTCTTTCTGGGGAATTCTCAAGAAGGATGCTTGACTCTTAGAAGTTGATAGATGAAGAAAATCTCGAATCTTTCTCAGTAAAAATCTCCCCATTAGATCCTTATGTGTCATCAAATAAGCCCTGTTTTCAGAACATACCTTCCATCTTGGACTACTTTTCAGAAAAACAAAATTTAGAAAAGAAAAAAAAACCCCAAATTTATAACTAGTAGCTTATCAGCCAAGACTGAGGGTTTGCTCAGTGAACTGATGCTGGTTCTGATTTAGCTTTTGTCTTTAATTCTTTTGTGATTTGGGTAATATGACTTCGACTCAATAATTGTGAGCCTCAGCGTCTGCACATGCGAATGCAAAACAGCGGTCTCCAAAGTCCTAATTGTGTTTTCCAATTAAACTAGCTTTTTCCACCCGATTTAACCCCCTTTATGCATTCACTTATACTACAGATATTTTAAGCCCTGAGCTGACTCACTCTAAGGGGCACCCGCATGCCTTTGGCCCAATACTATAAAGATGAGGAAGAAGAGAAAGAGATGAACAACTTTTGCTGCACAGAGTCTAGTGGAAAAGACAGTTATGCACACCAGTGGTGAAGAGCTATCTACGGGAAGCTAGCTTTGAGGGTGTCACAAGGTGGAGAACACAGTGGGGAGAGGACAGTTTCACAAGACTAGGACATTTTTTCCTCTGAGGAGGGGACAACACCAGTATTCATTCTTTTTATTTTTTTTTATTTTTTAATGTTTTATTTATTTCTAGGAGAGAGCGACAGCGTGAGCAGGGGAGGGCCAGAGAGAGAGGGAGTCACAGACTGAAACGGGCTCCAGGCTCTGAGCTGGCAGTCAGCACAGAGCCCGACGCGGGGCTCGAACCCACGAACCGCGAGATCATGACCTGAGCGAAAGTCGGACGCTTAACCGACTAAGCCACCCAGGCGCCCCCAGTATTCATTCTTGAAACGAGACTTTGCCAGACAGAGAATAGAGGAAGTGCATTCCCAGCGGGTGGGACTTCATGAACCACACACACCACAGGGAGACACAGGTGAGCCTGGTAAGTCTGAGAAAAGCCGTCATCCAGGGAGCACCTGTCTGAGGTACGGCAGGGCACACAAGAACGTGGAGAGCCAGAGAGAGGTGGAGGACGACGGGGCTTCCATCAGTTCAGGTCTGGGCGCTATGGGTCAGCTGCCACCACCAGCCAAAACCCAACGGGCTCCTTTGTTCATGCCGTGATGACTGAGACCTGGAGAGCAGGACTTAGGAGGCAAGAACGTGTGCTTTGTTGTGCCGCCAACTTGAGTATATTTCTTAGCTGCAAATCTTGCTGTAATTGTGCGTTTGGAAAATTATTAACTCTTCCTAAACCTCATTCATGTTACCAGTAAAATAGGACTAGAAGTAGTACGTCCTTCTTAATCAGGAACATAAGGAACAAGTGAGAGAATGTATGTGACACACTCAACAAATGTTGGCCGGTACACGGGAGATGCTCAACAGTTGTTGGCCAGATTACCGCAGGTGTTCAACAAATGTTGGCCAGTACACGGGAGATGCTCAACAATTGTTGGTCAGATTACCGCAGGTGTTCAACAAATGTTGGCTGGTACATGGGAGGCGCTCAACAATTGTTGGCCAGATCACCTCAGGTGTTCAACAAATGTTGACTGGTACACGGGAGGCGCTCAACAATTGTTGGCCAGATCACCGCAGGTGTTCAACAAATGTTGACTGGTACACGGGAGGCGCTCAACAATTGTTGGCCAGATCACCGCAGGTGTTCAACAAATGTTGACTGGTACACGGGAGGCGCTCAACAATTGTTGGCCAGATCACCGCAGGTGTTCAACAAATGTTGACTGGTACACGGGAGGCGCTCAACAATTGTTGGCCAGATTACCGCAGGTGTTCAACAAATGTTATGGCAGGTGCTCAACAAATTTTAAGTTCATAACAACACATGATTCGTAATATCTGATGAATAACATATGATTGATAGTGACGTTTCCTTGGTCAGGGTCAGTAGAGAAGCTCAGGGTCAAGATCAACTGAGGTCAGATAACCCCATCATTCGGTTTCTGAGAACAGTCCTCGTGGGATTTACAGCTTGGGCCCCATGTCTCAGCCACATTTATAGTGTGGTCAGGACATACCCAGAAGGCTCATTCTGTCCTCAGGTTTCTTCCCCCACAGGGATCAAGGAGAGGGAGCCCAAGCCTTGGATTATGAAGACATTCTTGCATCTCCCTGTGTAAAACGATAATGCCAAAGGTCCCTGGCACCAAGCAAGGGAATATGTTCCCCTTCCAAGGCTCCTTGTCCCCACACGATTACTAGGTGCTGCCGATATTAGACCCTGGGGACTATCTGTAAAGTCCTTGTTTCTTCCCCCTTTTAAAGGTCTTTGCGTGTTTAATAGCTGCCTTGCACAGGTGGATACAGGGTGGGTTTCTACTTCCTAGCAGTAGTTGCCTTTAAAAGAGATGTTTTTTTTACTAGACTTTATTTTTTAAGAGCAGTATTAGGTTCACGGCAACACTGAGCAGAAAGTAACAGAGCTGCCCTATTTCCTGCCTCTCTGCCCAGCCACATACAGCCTCCCCAGCCATCAGCGTCCCCAGCAGAATGGCACATCTGGGACATTTAACGAACAAACATGGACACGTCATCTTAACCCAATGTCATAATTTACATGAGGGTTCACTCCTGGTGGTGCACCTTCTGTGAGAATTGTTAACTTTTTACACCAGCAACTGTCCCCAAAAGGCGGATCCAAATAATCTGGGGCAAGGCTGGTGATGCCTTTTCCAATGACTTGTTTTGGAGAATAGCGTTTAAGATTGAGTTGAAATACCACCCCCCCATACACACAAAAAAGTAAGAAAGGCATGAAGGAAGGAAGTAGAGGAGAAAAAGGACCATCTGCTCACCCAGACAAGTTTCATCCCCAACCTCTAAAGCTCTTAGGAAAGGTTAGTGACAGTTCTTGCCTAAAATGTCCACAGTCTCCTGTTTCTTGAATCTGTTTCTCCTGTCCCATATCTGTCCCTGGGCCTTCCTCTTCCTGGAGAGTGAACTCCTGCCTTTCCTCACAGCCTTTACCCCCCACATATCTTCCAGGGCTATGTGATGGGGCCCCCCAAACTATGATAGAGGAAAATTCTTTGAACTAGAACTCTCAGAAAGGGACAGGGGCAATTCTGGAGAGATTTGTTTCAGCACCTAAGACGACTTATTTCAGCTGCTCTGGTAAAGTTCTTGTAAGGAAATCTAAGTAAGCTTTCTTGCTCTGACAGATGAATGCTTGTGGGAAGTTGGCTGCTCCAGGAGCCCCGGGGAGTGCTGAGATGTCCTTCCAAACAAGGACCCAAACAGCTGAAGGGCTCCAGTTACCTATGAGGTGAGTGACACAGACACTTCGCCAGTTGGAGAAGGAAAGGAGTGGGGCCAGGGAGTCGGTGGAGGGAAGAACAGAGGAGAAAGGAAGGAGAAGGCTGTGGGGGGAGTGAAGCAGGATGCCATGGGCCACAGTCGGGCAGTCCAGGGGAAGGAGCGGAGTCCTGTCCCTGCCTGTACCCCTTGCTGTACTTTGGGGGACAGGGGTGGCTCCCACCTTGAACCTCAGGCTGTGATCAGTGATTCACCAACCCCAATTACACCCTGCCTGAAGAGGGAACCATTCTGGGTGACTCCCCCAGGGTCGCAAATGTCCTCTCGTGGCCAGCGATGGTTACAAACAAAGTTAGCCGTCTGCAAGCGGCCGAGAGAGCCTGTCCTAAACCTTCGAGTCAGGATCTGCATGTGTGTGAAGTTTCTCAAGCAGCAAATTAAAATGCATACTCATTTAAATGTTTTCATTTTACCTTGTTTTTGCTCATTTGCATGTCCTATATTTTTCTAAAATTGTGCTGGCAATGATCAAAATGAGTTATTTCCAGCTGTAAAAATTGAATCGGTTTGAAAAAAAATTGACAAGACAATTCTTTCTTAATTTTGCAGAGGATAGGATAAAGGGATACATATCGTTGGCTTTGTTGAACTTGTGGGACGGAGTGAAATGGGAACAAGGGGTAGGAGCTTGTCAACTTTACACTGTCTCTGTATTTTACTTAGATCATTCAAATGAGTGTATGTTACGTTTGCCATTTTTTAAGGAAATTCAAGAAAGAAAGGAAAATGAAAAAAAAATTTTTTTGCCATGTGTTTTTCAAAAGCAAATGTGTTTCATTAAGTGAAACTTTCAATTCACTTTTTAAGATTGTATAATATGTTGTGAATTGAATGTTATTTTCTTAACTCTCCCACAGACCCTGTTTGCCAATTTTACATGTCTCAGCCCACCTGGCGAACGTTTTGCATTTGTCCCTCAATATGGACCATAAGGGCCTTTCTGTCACCAGCAACTGTTTCCACCAAATGGATTCAGCATGAGCCTTTAATTCAGAGCTTCGGTAGCTCAAATGACATTTTTTCAACTATGAAGTTTTATTTGAGCTGACAAAAAAAAGTGAAATCATTGAGCAAATATCCATGACTCGCCATCTTGGTTTAACGAATGCCATTTTTCCGTATTTGCTTTAGATCTTTAAAAATCATCGCAATTAATAATAGTAATAAAAAACATCCTGCCTTTACTCTAGTAGCAAATGTGGCCCTGAAGCTGGTATGCATCTTACTGACCAGTGTTTAATGCTTTCATGTTATGTGTGTATCCGTAAACAATATGCACCATTATTTTATATTTTGCCGTACTGTACGAAGATAGATGGTGCTGTGTGTATAATTATTTTTCATCATTTTTTTGCGGTTTATCCAGATTGATACACGTAGCCCTGGATCGCCTTTATACACCTCATTGTATAGCTGACCTGCAATTTGTTGATCCATTCGTTTACTCATGGACACCCAAGGCATTTCTGGGTTTTCCCTCTGACAACAACTGCCGCTTTGAACATCCTCGTCTCTGTGGTCTTGCACGCTTGAACCAGAGCCCGTCCCAGGGATGGTCCTCAAAGGGGAATCACTGGGTCATTGAAACATCTTCTAAAATTTAAGAGAAAGGGAGACACACACCCAAAGTCTAGGTCTTCTTCAGGAGGCAAGTTTAGTAAGGACTCTGGGTCATTTCATTGCCCCTGAGGGTGAGTTCCCACTTCTTTTCATTGCTTTTCTCTCAAATTGGAAACCTGGGAGCCTTCCTCAGTAGAATCCAGACTTCGGAGAATTTGTTGGTCTGAACTCAAAGAACTAACTCATCCTGGAGCGGAACTCACGGATGTGTTATTTTTTCCTTCCTTTTCACTTTCTGTTGCATAGTGATTTAGAACATGTTAAACAAGATATCAAGGCCCATGAGCTTATTCAAGAAAGAAAATGTCTTGCTAAGTGGAATGGTAAATTCAAGACCCTGAACCATCATGAGCCAGACTGAAGGATATCCCTGGGCTGTCACTGGCCAGAATGCCGTAATGGTATTTTCCCCCTCCTTCTAGATCAATGTCAGTGTGTTCCCATCAGCAAATTCCCAGGTGATGGATAGGCAGCTTCACTTTGAGTCTTTTGGTCACAGGGGTGACCTGTGGCCTTTTCAGGAGAGGTAAAATCAGTCTCTTGACGTTGCCTTTTGCCTTGCGCCAGCCTTGTTGTAAATCAGACCTCCTGATCTGAGTGCTTCCCAGGACTGACACACACCCTGGGGTTCAGATGGGGCCTGTGCTGCCTGGTACCTGTGGTCATCTGAAGTTTCTTCCGCCCCACGTGTGAGCACCTGCTCCAAAGGTGTGCAACACATGCCCCAGGCCTTCCCAGACTTCCCTCTTCTGTCAGGAGAACAGTCAGCCCTGTGGGTTTCAAAGTGTGTGCCACATGCAGTAGGCATGACATGCAGCATGAGCTAAGGTGGCCTATCACTAAATCTGTTGCTTGTAACAGTTGTTAACTTTTAGGCACAGTTCATAAATTTTGTTGCATTGAAGTTCAATCATGAAGCCATTGGTTTTAAAGAAAATATTAGCTACGTGAAGATGCATGTGTCTATGGCAAATATTGTGAAGATACTGTGCAAATGACTACACTGAGGAGACATGGCCTGAGCCAAAGTGCAGTCGGCTCAGTGTATGAGAAGTCACTGAGCTCAGCTGAGCATTTTACCCAGTGAGTGTTGCTTTGGGCACATCTCTTCAGTTTAGTTGAGTCTCAGCTTACGCACCTGGAAAATACAGGGGTTGGACTAGGTCAGTGGTTCTCGGCCCTGCCCTCACCTTTGAATCACCTGGGAAAATTTTTAAAATACTGATGCTTGGCATTCTCTGCAGACCAACTCCATGAACATCTCTGGGGTTCGGGCAAACATCAGTATTTTGTTCAGTGTTTATTTATATATATATTTTTTGAGCGAAAGAAAATGTGTACACACATGAGCAGGGGAAGGGCAGAGAGAAAGAGGGAGAGAGAATTCCAAGCAGGCTCTACTCTACCAGTGCAGAGCCCAACGTAGGCCTCAATCTCACAGTGAGATCATGACCTGACCCGAAATCAGGGGTCAGACGCCCAACCAACTGAGCCACCTAGGCTCCCTCAAATACCAGTATTTTTTTAAAAAGCTTCTTCAGGTGATTACATATAGGCAGGATTGAGAATCAGTGGCTATAATGATATCTGAACTTCATAGGATGAACTGATTTTCCGATCTTTGGGTAGACTACAAGGTACTGATTCAGTATCAGTGCAGGAGAGTCATCGCCCCCTTCAGGCTCAAGCATAGCAAGTGTGGTATGTAACCACTGAGCCAGCCTGGTCCTTACTGGTCTGGAAGCTCTCTGAGGGCAGGACTATGTCCTTTATGTGGATCTTACCTGTTGGCACCATGGTGTATGGTACAGTGTAGGTGCTTAATAAATGTTGGATGAAATTATGGTAGATGGAAGTTCAAGAACATGTTTTATTAGGCTATCTGGGATTAATCATTAGAAATTAGTAACCAAACTCAAAAGAGACTGGTTATTATGCCTAATTCCCAGCTTATTTTTTCCTAAAAGGAGCTCTCAGGGCTCAAGAAGTGGAACCAGTCTTTGTCCCAATGCAGTCTCTTCCTGGCAAAGTGGATGAGAAGGTTACTCGGTGAGCACAGAACAGAAGTTGGATTTTCTTATGTGCTTTTGCTATCAAGTTCTGGTGATCGGACGGCCTGGCCTCCATTTCTTTAAGGCTATTTTAACGTACAGGGTCCAGATCAATCGTGCAAAGCCAGAGTGCCTTTTGGACCTTCCGGTGATGAATTGACAGATGCTCACTGCCCCATTTTCCCTTTGCAAATATTCGTGCAGACCACCGCCCTGCCATTCACACCCGTTGCCACAACAGTTTCTAAGTGCTGGACAGGTTCACGTGGAGCTTGGCTGCTTGCATACTCAAGGCAGGCACTTTAATCTCCACGGTCAGGTCACTCCGAAGCACTCTGCAGGATGGGTTACTTCTGGAAAGCTGTCCTGTCGACAGCTAATCCCATCCTTCTTGCGGGCTTGACTTTCAGCGATGGCATCTGCTGAGCTTTGGTTTTGGGACCCATCTTATTTTGAGCACTTTGTCCACTGTCTACAGTTACCACAACTAAAAATACTTTGGAGGGTGAAAGAATCTTCAAGGGGACTTAGCAACAAGGACTGTATTCCTCGTATTTTGCTACCATATTTCAAGGCGGTAGCCTTTTTATTGTACTAAGATGCATGTTACCTGCTAGACCAATATTTCGTGTTATGGTTGATGAGAAGCCCATTTCTATGCTGAGCTGTGTGATATGTTGCCTTTTCCCTGCAAATGCACCCAACAACCACATTGCCTATGATCTTCCTGATAGCACCATGCCCACCTAGCCTCAACATACAGAATTAGCCACCTTCCCCGTGCATCATGCCAATGCTTCACTCTTCTCCAGCCAGCGTGAGCTTCCATCCTTCTGTGGCAGCCATGATCCTCCCCTCCCCCCCCCCCTTGCACCACCACCGTGTCCCGTCCCAGGAGTATAATCGGTGAGCTCCCACGTGGACCTAAGACCAGAGGAGCAGAGACGTGCTTGTGTAGTGTGTGTGCTGGTGTCTGTCTGAGGAAAAGCATGGAACTGTGGGTTTCTTTCTCCATCTTTGCACGCCTTCGATTCCAGAGAGCTGTGTGAGTGCCACCCAGCGTCTCTCAGCTGCCAGCGGGTTGCTAATCCCTGATTCCATGCGTGCATCTGCGGGGCTCTGGCACTTGCCACCCTGCTTGAATAAGGGAGGTCCTTCTTCCGTATAGAAACGTTAGAGTAACGCTGAGGACTTGCTCTTATATAAGGAAACTCTCCCTTAAAGTTAAGGAACATTTTCCCTCCATTTCGTCTAATTGGACCAGGAGAGGTATATGCATGTCCTTGCACATCGATACAACACTTATGGAGGGGTACACAGGGACTGGAAGCAGTGATTACTTTAGGGAACGTGACGTGACGAATGGGGGTAGGAAAGAGGCCTTAATTTTTTTAAATTTAAAAACCTTTTGTGCGGTTTTAAACCACTTCCCCATCCATTAAATAAGAGATTATATCTGAAGGGTCAGATGGTCTTCTGAGCCCCTTTCCTGAGAGTGTATAATTCTCCTGAATGGACGGTACATTTTGTATTTCTTTCTCTAACCTTTTTAGTGGAATTCAACTCTGCTGGTTATTTTAGAAACACCTCCTTTCCCCAGCATTGCCGGAGAATGAAATTTTCCATGCCGTGAATTCTCTAGGTAAATGAGTCTAATCCCTGTACACTGCTGAACTTTGGAATAACTTCTAATGGAATACCTATAAACTGTGTGACATACTTTCCCATCTTCCCCGTTTCTCTGCAGCTGTATTGAGGTATATATAGTTCACATGTCACAACATTCACCTATCCAAGGTTCAGAGGCATTTAGTATATCCACAGAGAGATGTACAAACATCGCCACGCTCTAATATTAGAACATTTCAACACCCCCAAAAGAAAACTCCATACCATTAATCTGTCACCCCCACTAAACTATTTATGTCCCTATGGATTTGCCTATTCTGGATTTTCACACAAATGGGATCATATCACATGTGGTCTTTGGTTTCTATCCTCTCAAACAGAGTAAATAGTATTTCATCATTTCTTGGTAGTATAAGCTCCTTATACTTATCATTGACACAGTGCTCACAAGAACCTCAAGGCTACAGAGGCAGGGAGGCTGTTGGCCTCTAGACTGCATGGCCCATTACCATGTAGGGGACTTGGTCAGCTCTCTGCTGTCCAGGCCATCAGGTGATCTCTGGAATACCTTGCCTTATGACCTTGGACTCTCATTTTAACAATCATTTCCTTCCTGATTGTCCCACTTTTGCAAATTAAGTTCTCCATTAGTGCATAAACTGGGTCCGACCTGAGGTCCACATGTTTTCTCTTGACCTAGGCTCATAATGTAACTCAGCCGTGAACCTCTTTGATGCATTTCTCTTCTCCTGGAGTGATTAAAAAAAGCTGAAACCTTCCCTTCTCTTGTTGCTATCTTGAGCATCTCATATCATCCAGTCAGCTAAATTCCATCTTGGAGATAAATCCCGCACAAGTATTTTATGATCTCTCTGGTTTAAGCAGCGCTAAACCCTTTGATTCCTTATATCCTTCCTCTCCCCTTTCTTAAAATAGTCTGTAGTTTGTGTCAAGGATTTCACTGACTTCCCATTCTCTAAAAGTGTATACTTGTGAAAGAATGCATTCCCTTATTTCCCTCGAAGAGCATGCATAATTGAAACATTTTCGAATGCAAACCTCCAGGCAGGGTGGGGCCGGGCAGCCCCTAAGGCAGCAGCGCACGTGTCTGCCAAGTCCAAGAGCATTTGAATGTTTGGCTCAGAGAGAGGCTATCTGACATCTGAACTGTCCTGGAAAGTGGAGTCTCTGTAAGTACTCCCTTTACCTTTTGGTAGGAATGGAGTCAGGTGGGGCAGAGCCTAGGGTCTGGGTCAGTCTCTCGCAGGGGCTGCTTGAGGCTTGCGTCCATCTGGCAGGCAGGGGACTGTCGCCATTCTGAACTTAGCTAGAGGAGCGTGGCAGAGTCTGACCAGGGCGGGTGTCATGGGAATTTGAGGTTCCAGGGCTTCTCCCATACTCCGTGTCTGGATAAACCCAGAAGTCGGGGGCACCCATGGCCAAGAGCAGCTCGGAGCCGTTGTGAATCTGGAGACCGGAGAAAATTCTGTCGGTGTCAGGGAAACCACTGGCCTTGGCCTGCCATGGGCAGAGAGGGGTGATGAGTACAGAGTGCCTGGCGCACAACGGACACTCTTAACGATCAGCCGAGTGACCAGATCTCTGGGGTGCAGTCTGAGCAGTTGGTAGGAACTATCTGACACCAGATGCTGAGGCCGATCCTCCGTGTAGGTTCGGCGGGAGGCGCTGTGACTTAGGCCTGATCTACCGCAGGCGCAGGGGTGTGACTGGAGAGAAGCAGAATGTACGGGCGAGTCACATGCTGAGAGGTGAGAACAGAGCCTGAGCTCGAAGGCGTGGAGGTGGCCCTAAAGTGGAGTTGGGCACCAGAGGAGTTTGGGTACATCCAGCTCTGGATGACCCGGTACCAGGGCGCTCGCTGAGCTCAGAACCGGGCAGACTAGCAGACAGGTGCGGCCAGGCCCCAGGGGAGGTAGCCAGAATTGGGGCGCCCTGCACCCGGGCCTGCACCCAGGCCTGCACCCGGGCCTGCACTGGCCTCACCAGGAAGCAGCCGTCCATACGTGGCGCAGCACTGCCCTCTGGTGGCCAAGCCCATGAGCGGCTCACTGGCTCAGGAGGACTCCTGGGGGAGCCTCGTTTGTTTACAGCTTCCCAGCAGATGCCCTCAGCATTTGGGCTTTGGGACTAATTTAACTCATCTGCATGAACCCACTCCTGCTGTGATGTGAGTACAATAAGCAGGGAAGAAATGTACTCCGTGCCTCTGTCTGGTTCCAGACAATTCAGTTAGCCTTTAAACACCACCGTTAGTAAACACCGCATGGGACCAGCATTGTGCTGGCCCTTTATTTGCGTCCTAGGGGAGAGCTGCTGTCATTACTCACGTTGCAGACGACGACGCATCGGGCTCAGAGAAGAGGTTGCCACTCGTGCTGCAAGAATAGGACATTTGCTTCCGGTGCAACCTACCTGTTACCCGTGGTGCCCCGCCCCGCCCCCACCCCGGACACCACGTGGGAATGAAGGGAATGGAGGGGGCGGGGACCCTTGCATTTTCTCTTATGCTTTTACAAATATATTTTAATAGTGAATATTGGTAGACATGGTTCTATAGGAACCGGGTCGCTCTTTTTTGACCCCTGAAGAGTCAGGAGAGCAGGTTTATTCTGTCCGCTCCTCCAGGGTGCAGACCCAGAGCCAGCAGAGCGGATTTCTCAAGGCCGATTTCAGCCCGGGTCAAAGCTTTTTGCTGGCCCCGAGGGCCCGCCCCACGGGGGGAAATGGTGGCACGTGGAGGTGCGGCATCTTGGGAAGGCCTTCGACTGGAGGTCGCTGGCGAGTTTGCACAGGAGAACCACTGCTGGGTAGAAGATGGGTTCTAAGTCCTTAATTAAAGCCTCTGAGGCCGTCCCACGGTCGCCCAGTCTGGGATGCCTCCAGCGGGCAGCAGTTCCTGCTCTAGCCTGCAGGTGGCAGCCGTGGCTCAGTCAGAGCCCGAGCCTGTCGGGTGCGGGAGCTCCCACGGTTCGCCTGGGACCTCAGGTATCCATTCACCTGAGGGGACTTACAGACGGCTGATGGCCGAGGGGCGGGGGAAGGAGTGCTCCCCAAAGATGCTGCTTTTACTGGTCTTGGCTGTGGCCCGGGCCTTGGGATGCTTAGAGCTCCCAAGTGCTTCTAGAGGGAGTGGCTGACGCTGGCATTTCTGTTGGTTTAGTGGGCAGCCTGTTTTGCTTTCTTTTCTTTCACGGAACCCTACAGGGGGAACCCGGGGCTGCCCCTGGAGATGCCCCTCCACCCCTCCACCCCCCACCCCCACCCCCAGCACCGTAAAGAACGCCAGCTCACTTGGGGAGAGGAAAGACAACGGTCCCTCCCAAAACAAGAGGGAAAGAAGAAACAAGAGCCCAACCAGTGCACTTGAAGCAGCGGTAGGCAGTCGATTTCCTCGGGAGACAAGTTAAACCAAGCCATGTGGGGGTGGGGGTGGGGAATATTCTAGAAGGCAGGGTGATACACTGGGCTAACAGCAGAAACAGCTGGTTCCACAGGCCCATGACACTGAGGCACAAACCGCGTTGCTGTGGCCAGGCTGGGACCCAGGTGAAGTGAGTGGGTGCAAAATCTGAGGGGACCTCAAAGCACTTGGTAATTAAGATAATTAATGATGTTTTGATGCAATAATATTTTTCCAAATCAATACAAAAGAGTCCATGATGAACAAAATATTGACATTTTATTTTTTATTAAAAATTTTTTTCAATGCTTTATTTTTGAGAGAGAGAGAGAGAGAGAGAGAGAGAGAGAGAGGACAAGTCAGGGAGGAGCAGAGAGAGAGA